AGGAGAAAAAGAGCAGTGAGATCCCAGCGTTTAGGGTCTGCGACCCTCCGCCTGCTTTGCCCTTGACCTGCACTTGAGCCTGGGAATCCTCTCAGCCCTGGGTGCTCAGATCGCTGGAAGCGCCCCCTGCTGGGGAGCAACCAAACACTCTGAACAACCTGTGAAGGATGGTAAGTGAAGTTCTAAGTGATTCAAAATCCTCTTCCTGGAAACAGGTGCCACCCCCACCCCGCAAAGGCCTCAGCAATGAAGGAACCACCGCCAGGGCATTAGCTGGCTTTCTCCGCACACTTCAGCTCTCGTCTGTGTCTAGTCCTAGCCCAGCCTCTCCTCCCAGGTACCGCGCTGGTCCCAGGGCACCTCACGTGCAGAGCACCCCAACCTGAGCCTGCACCCCAGAGCCACCCGGCTGCGCTTCTTCTCATCACATTTCCTGCCTCGGGAATCAGCAGCTCCCAAGCCAGAAGTCTGGACATCACCACAGTGGCCTTCCTCTCTGCCATAACCCACATCCAGTTTGCCAGTTCTCCCTGCCAAATATCTCAGCCCCGCCTGCGTTACGTGAGGGGTAAAAGTCAAAGAAGTATCTCGAAGAGATGCCCGCACCCACAGTGATTCGTGGCAGCATCGTTCCCAGTAGCTGACGTACAGAAACAACCCAGATGGACATCAGCGGAAGAGGAGATAAAGAAAACGGGACGCGTAACCGCAGCCGAACACGCAGCCTTAAAAAAGGAGGGAAGTGCTCTCACAGGTTACGGCGTGGGCGGACCTCGGGGACCTCCCAGAGTGAGACAGGCCACTCCGCATGGGACAGATCCGGACAATGCCACTCAAGCCTCTGACGTGTGACCATCACAGGAACAGAAGGCACAAAGCTGGGTCCCAAGGGCTTGGAGGAGGGGAGACGGGGGTCAGATTGGCAAGACGGGACAGCTCTCGAGATCTGCCCCGCTGTTCGAGGACAGGACAAAATGCTCACGTTTCTGCATAACACAAAACTAAAATCGAACCAGAAGAAACGACCAACTGCAAACTGTTAAAAAAAAAAAAAGAATTTAATTTCAACCTCGCAAAAGAGGTAATTTTTTTATACAAGAAATTAATAAGGAAAACCTACAGTCCTGATAAATAGGCCAGGATGCCCACAGAGACGAGCAAAGACCCCGATTGTCAGTCACCGTCTGAGTGTGCAAACGCTTCCGCGCCCCAGACGATGAAACACGAGCCCCTGGGAGCATCCGACACGCGAGCCATCAAAGAAACGCAAACTGGAACGTGAGGCCCCGCTTCCCACCCGCGGACTCACCCGAGGTGCAGAGAGAGAACGTAACTGTGGGTTCTCACAGACTTCCTAGTGAAGAGCAAATTCAAACAAATCTTGTAGAAAGAAATGAGGAAACACGTCAAAATCTTAGGAATGTATATATATTCCTATAACATCATAATTTCACTTCTCAGAAAATGGCCTTTGGAACTATGACAAAATATATTTTTAAAAATACCATTGCTCTTTGCAGCACTATTGAAAATAATGAAAATTAGGACTTCCGGCCAAGATGGAGGCGTAGGTAGAAACACTGTGCCTCCTCACACGACCAAAAACAGGACAACAACAAATTTAAAAACAAAAAACAACCAAAACTGCCAGAAAATCGAACTGATCAGAAGTCTGACGACCAGGGAGTTAAAGAAGAAACATCATCCAGAGCAACAGCAGGGGCAGAGACGCGCAGCCAGGCAGAGAGAACTCAGGGCAGGGTGGCGGCTGGCGGAGCAGTGGCCCACATTTGTGTGGCTGCGAACTCACAATTATTAACAACCACACCTAAAGCAAAAACAAAAATAAACTAAGCAAACAACTAGAACAGGAACAGAATCACAGACATGGAGACCACATGGAGGGTTATCGGTGGGGAGTGGGAGGGGAAGAGAGGGGGAAAAGGTACAGAGAATAAGAAGCGTAGATGGTAGGTAGAAAACAGACAGGGGAGGGGAAGAATAGTAGGGGAAGTGGAGAAGCCAAAGAACTTATATGTACGGCCCATGGACTTGCACTAAGGTGGGGGAATGATGGTGGGAGGAAGGGGAGGGGGTAGAGGGTAGAGGGGAATAAAGGGGAGAAAAAAATGGGACAACTGTAATAACATAATAAATAAAATATATATTTTTTAAAATAACAAAAATCAGAAACAACCTAAAAATTGTCCAGCATCTGGCTTTAGGTAAATTGGTCCGCGGCTGTGTCTGCTGGGGCGCCCTGGGCACTGAGAGGGAGGCGTGTGGATCAAGTTCCAGAAAATGGCTCTCACAAGGCTTCGACGAGAACGAATATTTCATTACTGTACATATCAAGTTGTCTGAAGATAGGGTGGTTCCAGATTTGGTTACTCTGTATCTCAATAATGCCAGTGGTGCTCCAGATTCTTTCCTCTATTTGCTTTGTTATCTTAGCGTGGCAGCCACGTACCTCATGGAAACAAGAGGGCTGCAGCAGCTCCGAGTATCACGTCCTTAAACATCTCATCCCAAGCCTGAAACATCTCATCCCATTACTTCTTGTGTCCCAGAACCCCCACAGCCGACTGCCTTTGAGGGCTCCTTGTCCAGAATGGTATCACACGTTCCATCCTCGATCACCAGCAGCAAATGGGTCCCCAATGTGTGGTCCTTGGACCAGCAGCCTCAGTGTCACCTGGGCACTTGCTAGAAATGTGCATTTTCAGCCCCCACACCCGAATCAGGAAATCTGAGAGTGAAGCCACCAATCTGCTCTCCACAGCCTCCCAGGTGACACTGGGGCAGCTCAAATTTGAAAGCCACAGACCCAAACCGGCCCAAAGTCATCTGCTGGCTGAGAAGGTTCTCCCCATTGCTGGGGCTCACAGCCCCCGCCTATCTGAACAGAACCATGTTCCACTCGCAGCAAAAGAGGGAGAAACAGCCACGGGGTAGCCAACCCCCACGAAGGGGACGCTCTGGTCCTGGTGCCCAGTCTTCTAAGGACACAAAAGTCGAAGGACAGACACTGCTCTTCCTGTCCACCATCCCTCCGCAGCTCTCCTATTAAAAAACAGCGTGGAAACGTGGTGTGCTCACATGTGTGCCTGCGTGTCTGCGGAATTATTTAAAAAATCGAGTTGCAGACAATCCTGTCATGAAATGTGCAAGCATAAACATCAAAAAGCGAAGAAGATACAATACGGGCAGGTAGACGTGTGTTTACGTGAGGACGAGTGTTCAGGGAAAGTTCTGGAAGGCTCACCAGACCTCTCCGCGGTCTTCCCGAGGAGAGAGAGGCATGAAGCTGGGGGACAGAGGTCACTTCCCCTTTTACTTTATTTACTTCTGAATTGCTTCACTTTTTCAACAGCGGGACTCTGAGGGATCATTTGTATGTTTTGAAACAAAATGTTCTCAGTTGCGCCTGCATCAAAGCCCTGGGAACGGGAGGGGGGCTTCCTCTTGTCCGCAGGGGGGTCGTTACCGACGACAGAGCAGCAAGAACCAGCCCTTCCGTCCCCTGTTCAAACCCCAGGTTTCCTCTTGCCGATGCCCTTCATCTTCCTCACAGGTTCTGCCTCGTTTGCATGTGAGTAACAGCAAGAGCTTTCATAATTTGTTACGAACTTTAGGCCCCAGAGGCAGCCACTTGCCAGCTCTGCCAGAAAACCCCTCTGGCTCCCAGCAGTTGTCCGGGGGCTTCCACTGGGGTGTGTGCGCGACAGTCACTGCTGCCTTCTGCGTTGTCTAGAAACCTTCACGGGAACCCGGCGTTCAGAGCCAGAGGACATTTGAGACAGAGACAGATGGACACGGTGCGGCCCAGTGACCTCACCGCAGAGGAAGAAGCAAAGGCCTGGGGAGCAACCAGTGGCTCAACCAGCCGCTGCCATCCTGAAACCGGAACCGGCATCACTTCCCCCCCGACCAGCGCTCCACTCGTAACACAGCACGAGCACGAAACTTGAAGGCTTTGCCAGTTTGGAGGGGGGTGGCGGGGGGGTCTGTGTGTGTCCTGACATGAGGCTGGCAGGCTGGCAGGTAGCACCGAGCTTCCGGAACGCTCTCCCAGGCCCACAGGCCACAGTGTTTTAACAGCCGCGGGCACAGACGGCCCCATGCAACCACTTTCGTTTCTCTGTGGTTTTCTCCCCTTTTGTGGCCATCGGTCTGTTCCTGGGTTTGGAGTCTCTCTCTCACCCTCCCCGCGTGTCCTTCCTGGCCGGGGCGGGGCGGGCATCTGCTTCCAGACCTCTGGGCACATGCACGTCCAGCTCCGTCCCAGGACCTTTGTCTGCACGGCTTTTCCTATCGGTTCTGCTGCACCCTCCCCCCCAACCAGTGTCTCTGCCCCTCCCTCGCAGCCTGTCCACCCTCCCCCGCACACACACACACTTTCGTGTTTTGGAAGTTTCCTTTCCTAGCGCTCTCCCCCATTTGACTAGAGATGGAGTGGGGAACGTGCTTCCTAAGAGATTTCGATGCCTGTTGCGTTTGCACTTTAGAGGTTCCTGCACTTCGTCATGAAAGTGAGCAAGTAGAATATTTCCTTAGAAGACCATCACAGGTCTCGGGGCCCCTCTGTGGCCTTCGCTGGTCATCCCTTGGTGGACTCGGGATGGGAAGGAGTGGCCCTTACTCCGGCCGACGTGCGTTAAGACAGAATGGGCTAAGCCGAGCTGGTCTGCGAACGAACAAAACAAATGAGCAAGACAGAAACTGAGATGGGGAATGGAGAACAAAGTGACCGTGACCACAGGGATGAAGGGAGGGGCACAGCGGTGCAAAGAAGGGGAGGAGGCAAAGGAACGTGGATGGAGGACTCACGGGCGCAGACAAGGGCGGGAGTGAGTGGGGGGCGCAATTGGGGGAAATGCGGGACAACTGTAAGTGAACAACAAGGAAGTTTTTCAAAAATCCAAAAAAATGTGGAAAATGATGAGTGGTGGGTGCGTTTATGTGCCTGTGTGTATGAGGGATTATTGTAAAAACTCAGGCTGCAGAAAATCATGTCATGGGTAAACACAAACAACTAAAAATGGACAAAATTCACAGGTCCAGGCAGAGGCACGTTCGCATGAATGGGAATGTGTAGGGAAAGTTCTAGAAGGACAGTACGACCTTCTCAGTGGTCGTCCTTCGCTTTCTCCACCCGGAGACCGGACCCATGTCCCCGCCCTTGGGGGGACTCCTAACTGCCCGACCCGCGCGGGGCCCTGGGAAGGGGGGCCATTTGTCACAGCAGCTGGTAAACAAGTTCAAGTCTCCCGTCAAACAAGATAAACTCTCCCTTTTCCCCTCAGTCCTCTCCAGGACATAAACATTCGAGTCTCCCGTCCCGTGGCGTCCCTCAGGGCTTTCACTGGGAGCAGGTCTTCCAGAGACCACAGGAATTAGCAAAGGACAGGGACCTCCTGCGTGGAAAGTGCAGGCACGTCAGCCGGTCCCACTGGGGTGACGACTGAGACCCGACCATCTCCCTCCCGTGTCCCCTACTGGGGGGTCGGCAACCCGGAGGAGACAAGCGGGGCTGCTCTCCGGCTGCCGTAACAGACGTAGTTTGGACGACAGACCTTTATTCCTCGCTGTCCTGGAGGCTGGAGCCCGAGACCCAGGTGTGGGCAGGGCCGGCTCCTCCCAGGCCTCCCTCCTGGGCGTCCTCCCGGAGTCCCCATGCGTCCCTCTGCGTGTGTCTGTGTCCTCCTCGCTTCCTGTGAGGACACCAGTCGTACTGGGTTAGGGTCCACCTCTAAGTCCCCCTTCTAACTTAGTCGTCCCTTCCAAGGCCTTGCCTCCCAACACACTCCCGTCCCGAGGTCCTGGGCTTCAACATACGGGTTCCGGGGAGACCCAGTTTAACCCACCGCTCAAAGTGGGAAAGGGGGGTCCGGCCCCTTTGGTTTCTCTATTGAGACGACTCGCAGTGGGGCTCCCCCGGGGAGAATGGGGTGCTGCCGAGAGCGGGAGAGGCTCCTGGAGAGCCAGGACCACCGCTCACTGCTCCTTCGTAACAGGGTTCTGAAGAGGACCGGTCAGTCACTGAGACCGTGTTTTGTTTTACTCCACCTTCAGCCAGAAGCGGTCAGGCTTCTGTCCCCAACCCCAGCCCTGAAATGACGGCAGCAAAGACCACAGCTACTTCCTGGGTGGCAGCCCGGCCTTGTCCTCCGCCCTTCACACCGGGAGGGGCCTCGGGGGGCCGGTTTCCTCGCCGCCCCGCCTTCCCAGTCTGCTCTGTCAGCAACTCTATTTTTGCACATGCAGCGAGAGTGGCCGAGTGCCAAGTCTCTGTCCCCGTCCCCTCCCCTGTCCCAGTCCCAGGATAGAGAGCGCTCGCCCACACTTCGTCCTGGCCTGGGCCCTCGGGTGGGCTCCCAGGGGGCATCTGGAATTGCAGGGAAAATGCAGTGTATGTTGTCATTTCTTTTTTGGAGTTTTGAGAGAAAGTTTATTGAGAAAGCACAGAGGCAGAAGAGGTGAGCCAGCTGGGCTGCGTGGGCTCGGGAGACAAGTGCCAGGGGCAGCGGAAGGGACCCTGGAGCTCGGGAGGGGGAAAGGCACGGGCAACGCCCGGGAGGAAGGGGGACGAGGCGCCGGGAAGGCACACGCGCCCGGAGAGGGAAAGCACGGACAGTTGCATTTCTCCTTGGGAGACGCACGAAGCGTTCATCAGTTCAGAACATCAGCGTGCTGGGCCTGCTGAAGGCGTCCTTGGTGGGAGCCCCATTCAGGGCTGTGTGTCCCACTGCCTCCTGCACGTCTCACCCGAAATCACCACGACCCCCTCACTCCGCCCCCTTCCTCCTCCCGGGCCTGCACCCCCCCTCTGTGTGCCTGTCCCAAGTGCACGCCAGCCTCTGACCCCTGCGACCGACCCTCTGAGCTCCACCAGACCCTCCCGCACGCCCCTCCTGGCCCTGGGAGCGCCCCCCGCCCGCTCTGCCGCTGCACTGCCCTCCTGACAGCCCTTCTGCTCCTACAGGACCCCCTTCTCTCACCGGGACGACCCCGACGTCCCCCCACTTCCAGGCTGGCTGGCGGAGTCATGTCACCACCGTGTGAACCTGCTCGGTTGCCTGACGGCCCGAATCTCGATGATCAGTTTCCCGTTTTGTGAATCTCACTCTGAGGGCAGCCCCGGGAAGCGCCCGCTGCTCACCATGACCTACCGGGCCCTTCGGCGGCACCCAGGGAGGGCCTAGAACGTTCCAGGCTGTGTGCGAAATGCTGGGGGCACGGTGGTTGCCAGAGGAACCGATTCCTGCCCTCAAAGACCTCACAGTCCACAGAAGCGACAAGCTCCTGCAGGAGGCCAGGGGACAGGGGCCAGGGCACCGGCGTCACAGCCTAACTTGGGGAGCCAGGGAGTCCCACCTCCCCTTTGGCATTTGAAACAATGACCAGCAGGCACAGGTCTGGACAGGGAACCGACAGCCACCGGGGCATTGTCCTCAACAATTCCTCCGGCTTAAGGCTGCTGTTTTCAGCCCCATTTCACAGAGCGGGAGACTGAGGCTCAGAAGGCGCAGGCGGTGGAGCTGACCTTCCCCTCCGTTAACCCACCAGGTGCCTCGTGGTGCCAGCTGATCTCGGGGACCGTGCCCAGCTCTGCAGACGCACCAGCCACAGCATTCTCTTGAGATGCCACCAAGGGTCCTGTCTTCCGTGCAGACTCATTCCTCCCTTCACAGAATGAGCCTCGGCCGTCTCTGCGCACACACGGCTTTTCACAAATGCTCTCGGAGACGCTTATCCAGAGGTCTCCCCAGGGGAAGCCGGGGGCCCCGGGATGATGAGAGTCGCCCTTGGTAAAGGAAGACACAGCCCAGTGCCTGGTGCTCTGGTGTCTCCTCGAGGGACAGGGCAGGGCAGCGGGGACCAGCCCTCCAAGGGCACCCCCTTCTCTCACCTGCTTGCCTCGGCCTCGGCCCACCTTAGAAGTCAGCCCCACCCACCCACCCCGGCAACCCTCAGCGTGCCAGCCGTGCTTCCCAGTCTTGGCGGCCAGACTAACACGTCCTTCCTCCCTGGAAGGCCACACCCAGGTGAGTCGGAGTGAATCCTCCCAGAAGGAAAACCGGAGTGAACGCCGTCCGGGCGGAGCCACTGTGGTCCCTGGACGTGCCCTCGCTGCTGGGTCCCCACAAGCAGCGGAGGTGGGCGGGGGGGGGGGCCCACATTTGGCAAGATGTGAATGGAGCCTCTGAGAGGCCGCTCGGGGACCCCTGCCTGGCTCCCCGCCGGCGTCCATTAGTCCCCGGGCCCGCGGGGGAGGGGCGGCTGCAAGAAGGCGTGTGGGGCAGAGATGGGGACGGGGAGGGACCACGAACGAACGCTACCCACCAGCCAAACGAACAAAAACCGAAACCTGAGGAGTGGTTTTGGCCACTTCTGGCATGAAAAGGGACATCAGTTTCACGCGCTTTGGACCGAGGGGGAGGTGGGTGTGTGGGAGGGTGTGCTCGTGCGGACCACCGGGACCTAGAGGACAGAGTGGACGTCCTGCACCTGCACCCCCTCCCCCTCCTCCCCCTCCTCCCCCTCCTCCCCCTCCTCCCCAAGCCCTGAGCAGGCCTGGCCCCCCTGAGTGGCTGTGGCCCGGCCCAGCCCTGGTGCCACGGGGTGGAGGTACAGGGCCCCGGCCTCGCCTCCCCTCGCCCCTGACCCCTCAGCCCCCCACGTCTCCGCTGGCCCCTTGCTTTCCGCAGGGCCCATTTCTCCCCGAGGGCAGAGGTTTCTTTCCGGAGACTCTGGGAGCCTTGTGAGCGAATTCACACTGGGAAGTGAGAAGGCGGGAGCATCTTTAACTTTGGAAGACAATGTCAGTGGAGACAGCGCTGGGGTGAGGGGCCTGTAGGGTCTCCAGGGCGACACGCCTGCTCCCTGCACTTGGGCCCGGCAGGAGGGAGGAGGTGTGAGACGCAGACCCTCAGGGACCACCCTCGCTGGTCCCTGTCTGGTCCCCAGTCTCCGCTCTCTCCCCTTCTTGGTGCTGGGTGGACCGAGCCCCGCTGGGTGGAGCGAATATCCTGAGATTTCCGAGGGTGCCCCACAGGCTGCCACCAGGGCCCTCGAGGGACAAGGGGACACGCCACCGCTCAGCTTCCCCTCCAGGCACCGCCCCCCTGCCCGCGGCTCACGTGCCTGAGGTCAGACTCCACAATCAGTGCTGTTCCCAGAGCAGGATCCTGTTGAGTAAAAGGGGGCGGGGAGGCTGCTTCACTTCTCCTCGGAAGTCCAAGTCCGCCAGTCACAGCAGGTGTCACTCTCGGGGCCAGCATGTGGCAGCTGCTGCCACCCACCGCGCTGCTGCTTCTAGGTGAGTGAGAGTGGCACTCAGGGTGCCGGGGGTCAGGCCAGGAGGGGGCCCCTCTGGCGTCTGCAGCCCTGAGCCCGGCTCCCAGGACCAGCCACTGGGGATGCAGAGAATGCTGGGGAGGCGGAGGGGACGGTGACACCCGGTTCTCAGCGCCCTCGTCCACGCACGGACCGGAGGGCCTCTCCCATCATGGCCGGCCAGCCTCCTCTCCAGGACTTTTAATGTCTGCTCCTTCCAGGGAGGGGACTGGGGTCACCGTTGCTTGAAGCTTTCTCTCAGGCAGAGTCGGTCCATATCCTTAGTTTGGGGGGTTGAACAGGGGCCAAGGAGCAAGGGGATGGTGTTGAAAACAGGGGTTCGGGTGAGCCGTGGGGGAGGGGGCTGGAGGCACGGACATTGGAGACCAGCGAGGACAGCGGCCGTCTCTGCACGTCGCGGTCTCTGCTCAGGCTCGAATCTTCCTCTTCTCTCCCGCAGCTTCCACGGGCACACGGGCTGGTGAGTTGGCTCTCAGGATGTCGGACTGACCTCGCGAGGCCCGTAGGAGCCACGGGCTGTGGCCACTGCTGGCGGGGGGCCGGGGGGGCAGGGGCAATTCCCCCGCACGGGAGGCCTGGCCCTGCGCTCCTCCAGCCAGCTTTCCTGAAGGCGCAGAGCAGCCACAGTGGGGCCAAGAGGCTCCAAGCCAGGGTCTCAGACCCGCGTGGTCTGTGGGGCTGACCCCAGCGCTGCGCCTCCCGGAGGCAGAACAGGGGCTGCTCACCGCCCACCCTGGCCCACTGTCTTGTCTCCTCAGAAGGTCTCCCGAAGGCCGAGCTGTCCCTGTACCCTGAATGGGACAGGCTTCTCGAGATGGACCCCGTGACCCTGACGTGCCGGGGGGACCACACGGAGGAGGACAAGTCCACACGGTGGTGGCACAATGGGACCCTCCTGCCCAACCAGGCCTCCAGCCACTTCATCGCGTCCGCCCGGGTGAATGACAGCGGCGAGTACCGGTGTCGGACCAACCGCTCCGAGCTCAGCCATCCGGTGCGGCTGCAAGTTGTCGCCGGTGAGCGGGTGATGGGTGAGCGGGTGATGGGAGAGGGGGTTGCCCACAACCGGTGACACCAGAGGCCAGGGAAGGCTGGGGGGGCCCCGGAAGGGGACATTCTGGGGGATCAGAGCCACGGTGAGGAGATCCGCGGTCCCTCTGCACTGCTGGAGGGCACTGCGTCAAACCTGGCGGTGGCAGGGGCACAACTGCTGCCCCTCCCAGTCACAGGAGCAGCGGCTGCAGGGGACGCCAGCCTCCCCCCCCCCGCCCTGCTCGCTGGCTCTGAGGCTCACCAGTCCTTCTCGTGCACGTTAATGAGTCTGTTCTCAGACCTCCCTGTCCTCCTCAGTCTCCGACACACAAAGCCCAAGCTGCCCCCACTCCAGCCCCGATGGCCGAGCCGCCCATCTCTGTCCCGTCAACGCCACACGCAGACTCACCCGTAACTGGGCTGCCTGCACCCAGAGGCGCCATCGGCCCCTGGGTGGGACGAAAGGCCGGGTGCCCTCCACAGCCCCCGGGCACCACAGGCAGGCGGGGAGTGTGGAGGCGGGGTCTCTGTGGGGTGCCACCCTGCCCTGCCCCGGGGACAGCGACCACACTGACACACTGGCTGGGCTTGGGGGGGGGGGCAGTGCAGGCGCACCCACAGCAGGGCTCCATGGGGCTGGGCCCCTGCAGCTGGTTTTGGGGGCTCCTTAGCCACTGGCTGCCCACTGAGCTGACGTGTCTCGGAAGCTGCAGGAAGGGTGTCTGCTGCCCCCCAGGACAGAGACGGCACCTCCGGCAGAGTAAGACAGGGGTTCACCCACAGGCAGCAAGGGAACAGTCAACTCCGGGAGCAGGTAGTCGGCCTGGAGCTTGGCTCGGGGGCCCGGCTTCTGACGTCCCGTCGGGGAGGACTGTGTGAAACCGCGCCAGGGCCCCCCGCGTCCCCAGGCCAGTCCCGGCCCCCCACGCACCTCACTTCTCTCCGCCGAGGCCCCTTCCTTTTCCTGACTTTCTCTGGGCAGAAGCCCCCCGCCTGTTCTCTCCGCCCCAGAGTCCTGGGATCTTAGACGGTGTCCCACTTGCCGCTTTCTGTCGCGATTGTTTGTTTCTGAGTCACTCGGAGGTCGGGGTCGTGTGGCGCGGTTCCCGGGTACCCCCAGTCTGCACAACCCCAGTGCGTATTCGACGAAACATCTGTCCCACGAACACATGGGGATGCTCACTGAGTAAGCGGCAGGGCCGACCGGGACCCGTGTGTTCCGGCAAAGGCCACCGGAGCACCTCAGGGCGCACGTGGGGCACCTCCCGACCACCGTGTGGCGCTAAGAGAATCCATCTCTGCTCACGCGGCACGTGGGCGTGTAGGCACCGGGCCTCTTTTGATACATGGTTTCTGTTAATAAACAACGGAGGCCACCTTCTGCGTGGGAAACATTCCAGGTAGAGAATTTCCATGTCCTGCCAATTTTGTTTAGCATGAAAGAGTTGATTTTTTTAAATTTAATTTATTTATCTTTAGAAGGGAAGGGAAGGAGAGAAGGAAAGAAATATCAATGTGTGGTTGCTTCTGGTGCACCCCCTGCTGGGAACTGGCCTGCAACCCAGGCATGTGCCCTGACTGAGAATCGAACCGTGATCTTTTTGTTCGCAGGTCCATGGAAAGAGTTAATTTTTTAAGAGTAAGTTTTATTGTTTTGTTCTTACAAACCTCATTACATTTTCAAAAATATGTAAAAGTAAAAGGAAGAAAATTAAAACAAACCACAGGACACCTGTTACTATTTTTTTTAAAAAGGGTGTGATCCTTCATGTTCGGCTTCTGCGAGTACGTACTTTTTGCATCCTGTCTTTCTCACTGAATGTCACCTCACGACTGTTTCTCGTGTCATTTCACAACTTGTCTGCCCCTCATCTGTGACTGTCCAGGCTCCCTCCGTGCGGAATGTGGTCACCGGGCAAGGCCGCTGTGAGTCTGTGAGCACCGCGTGCTGGAGGCCTCAGTGTTTTCGCTCCTGAAGGCTGAGCTCAGGGGTGCAGACGGGCCCGCGGAGGCCCCGTGGCCCCCAGACACCCCCAGGCCCAAGGGCACGCCATCTCTCTGCTCCTTGACCTTTAGACTGAGCTGTCCCTCACCTGCAGCCATGCCTCTGGCCACCCAGGGACCAGCTGCTGCTGCAGGAATCTCTTGATGTCTCAGCAAACTGTACGTCCCTTCTGGGCCTGCCTCTCCTTTAAGGAAGCAGGTCACCATTGTCAAGTGCCACTTTGACTCTGGGATCTAGAACACTCTGGGCCCACTGCCGCCTGCCTTCGCACACCAAGGGCAGCCCTCCACCCTGTGGACGGTGTCTCGCCTGCCTCGTCCTGGAGTCACTCTGTCCTGGCCGTGGTTCTCACTGTGTGTCTGCCCCTCTACCCCCCTTAGACAGAGGTCGTGGGGTGGCTCCAGCTCTCACGCAGGCCTGGAGGGTTGGCGGGGGCTTTTTCCTGGGGGGGGGGGCTTGTGGGAAGCGGCCCCTGTCTGCTGTCCACCTGGGGATCTGGCGGCCAGGGTCCCGTCAAGAGTGCGTTGTGCCCATCGCTGAGGCCTCCGGGGCCTGTGATCTGTGTCTTTCAGCCTGGCTGGTGCTCCAGGCCCGCCGCTGGGTGGTCCAGGCGGGGGACCCCCTCGTGCTGAGGTGCCACAGCTGGAAGAACTTGCCTGTCTACAGGGTCCAGTTTTTCCAGAACGGCAGAGGCAGGCAGTTTTCCCGCCAGAACTCTGAGTTCCGCATCTCAGTGGCAACGGGCGAGCACAACGGCTCCTACTTCTGCCGGGGGATGATCCACGACCGGCGGAACGAGTCTTCCGAGGCCGTGCAAGTCCTGGTGCTTGGTGAGCAGGGTGCGGCCCGGGGGAGGGGGGGCGCTCGGCTGGGCAGCGGCGAAGCCACGGGCCTCTCTGAGCCCCGGTTTCTGTGACAAAGAGGGGGGCGTGCATCGGGCTCCCCCTGGGCCATACACTGGCCTAAGTGTCTGCTTGCCTGGGACCCCCCACCCCCGACCTCCGACCATGCGGATGGGTAGGGCACCATCGGCTCCCCGGCACAGAGGAAGGAACTGAGGCAGAAAACAGGGGTCATTACCTTGCCCCTCAGGTCACACCTGATAAAAGGAGTCAGACAGGCACCCCTGTGCTCTGAGAGATGTTTGCCCAGTTTCTGTGGAGCACCCCGGGGAGGAGGGGGTCAGAGGCTCTGCCCCCCCCCCCACACACACACACGGTGCTCCTGGACTCCCGGACGTGAGTTACATCCCCTGCATCCGGACCGAGACTACACAGTAAGGCAGCAGAGACACACACCTTTGGGGACTCTAACAAAGCAAAGCCATACTTTGTGTGACAATAATTCCATTGCAATTTCAGTTTAAAGTCAGCACTCTCAACAGGTGAGGGAAAGAGGGGGCAAATAATGAAGTAAATGGGCCAGAATGCCAGCAACTAGTAAAGGTAGGAGATATATATATATATGAGAGAGTTCATCGTTAATATTCTGGTAACTTCCCGTAAGTTTGCAATTAAGTCAAAGTTAAGAGTTACAAACTTGAAATTAAAAACCCAGTCTGGCAACACCAGTTTGTAGACAGCAGCGAGGACTGGGCTTTCAGGAACGACCAGGGCCAAGAGAGTGAGAACCCACGAGCCCGCCTCGCTCCCTCCTGGGGGGCAGAGGAGTCCCTGCGCCTCTCAGCGAAGAAACAGCGTCCGTTTTTCTGCCAGTAAGGAGCACATCCCAACGGTTTGCTTCATTTCCCAGATTTCCTTTACTGACAGCGAACCACACGCTGAGTGTCATTTTCCGACCCGAGATAAAGCTCCTGAGTTGAGACATAATGTTCTCACACCAACTTGAACTTTGACGACCTTTGTAAATTCACACCAAACCCAACACCCTCACTTGCTCGGCTTCCCCAGGCGCAACCTCCCTGGGACAGGAAGCTGCTTCCGCTGCGGTTTGGAGGGCTGTGCCCCGAGGGGGCAGCTCCGGGGGGGGGGGGGCAGCCTGGGAGGAAGCGAAGGCTTCCTGCAGACCCCGCTGCCCCTGAGAACCCGGCTCAGCCACTGTCAGGAGGACCCTCCGCTAAGGAAGGGCCTTGTTCTTGATCCCAAATCTCTGCCCTGACGGCTGCCGTTCTCCTGTCCCTCCGCCTGTCCTCACAGGTGTGGCAATCCCACCTGCCCCACCGGGGAGGCTGGTCACCATCAGCCTGCTGCTGGGACTCCTGTTCGCCGTGGACACGGGGCTGTATTTCTCTGTGCGGAGGGACCTTCGAAACGCGTTGAAGAAAGGGAGGAGTGACAAAGCCACGTGGAGCAAGAGCCCTGAGGACACGCAGGAGCAATGAAAACAGTCTCCGAACCCCGCGCTGTGCTCCCCACGCCGTGGCCCGCAGCCCCCACCTCTGGGAAGAGCAGGAAGTCGGCACCTCAGAGCCCGGCTGCGGGCCCTTCGCCCACCTCCATTTTCCGTGGTCCCCAGTGAAAAAGAAAGGCCTGCTTTTTACAAATACTACTGTCATCTTTAGTGCTCGATCTGGTTTCTAAAGTTTGCTTTTAATTACAGTTGACGTGCACTGTTAGGTTAGTTTTTGGTGTATTAAATTGTGATTCCACATTTAATATACTTTACGAAGCAATCCCAAAGGGCTTGTGATCCTCGGGGGGCACCTGAGAGAGCCCCCGGGGGCCCCTGGGGGCAGCTGCATTCCCAGGACTTGAGGTCCCAGAGCCACACAGCCCTGTCCCAGCCCCTGCCCCAGCCAAGCAGCAGTACAGTCTCCGATGGCGACCCTTGATGTGTGAACATTTTCCTCAAGTAACTGGAGATACAGATCACAACTGAGTGGCAGCTGGACCGTGGTCGGTGCCCTCCTGCCAGGCTGGTGCCGTCAGGGTGCCCCGAAACTCCTCAGACTGTGGGGACTGCTGGGGGGTCTGGGAGAGACAGCAGAGTCCACGAAGGGTGTGGCTAAGAAAGAGCAGGGTGGTCCAGGGCGGACTGGGGCACACCCCACTGGGGCGTCCGTCTCCCTAGAAACCAGGGGCCCGAGTAAAATCTAGGTTTGTGGTTGGGGACGGGGAGCCGTGGCTGTCAGAACTGGATGGTGTGCTCACGTGCGACGAGGAGAAATGGTCCCCGGAAAGGAGCTGGGGCAGGGACAGGGGAGAGAAAAGACAGAGCCACGCCCGTGCCCCGGGCAGGAGCGTGCAGCACGGCCCCGGCCTCGGGCAGCCGCAGGCGCCCCGACTGAACGCACGACCGGGTCCGGCTGCGACGTCCGAGTCCCCGGGCTCCCAGCCGCTCCCCCGCGGGAAGGCCGCGGCTCCGTCCCGCCGTCCGAGTTTCCGGCGGAAAGGTTTTGACCCCGGTGAGGCGTGTTACCACCCGCTGCTCGCTCCTCAGGCAGAGGACGGAAAACCCGCCCACGACACTGAACCAGAGCGACGGACCCTCTCACCTGTCCGTCCGGGGCGGCGCCACCGCTGTCCTTCCGCCGCCGCTCCGAGGGACGCGTCCGCTGCTCGCTCGCCCGGTGCGCGCGGGGGCGCGGGCGCGGGCCGAGCAGAGGTCGCTGCGGGAGCTCGGACGGCGCTCGGTCGCAGCCGGGGCGCGTGCAGCCCCGCACGCTCGGCTCTCTCACGTGGCGCCCACGCCGCTCCTCCCAAAAGGGGCCGCAGGCATAGGGGCGGAGGCCCGGGGGCTCAAAATGGAGGCGCGCGTCCCTGGGTGGGCTCGAACCACCAACCTTTCGGTTAACAGCCGAACGCGCTAACCGATTGCGCCACAGAGACAGGCGATCGGTGGCTTCGGCGCCGAGTCACTTGAGTGAAGAACCTCGTCGCAGCGTCACTTCTCCAAACCGAGGGGGACGGGGCGGCTGCCGCGCGAGCCCCGCAGGTCTCCTCCCGCGCGGCCACCTGTCACCTGCTGGGGTCGCGAGGCTCAGAAGGGGCGCGGCGAGGGCGAAAGGACCGGAGCCGGGCGCTCGCCGTGGTTCTGCTGGGACGTTTCCCGAATTCGTGTGCACAGGCGCGGGTATCAGCGCACGAGAATTTAAAGTGAAAGTGTAAAACACCAACGGTGTCCTGCAAAGTATAAAGTCTAAGGAAGGGTCAGTGGCCCAGCGCATTTCGCGGTCAGGGCCAAAGCGCACCCACCGCGGCGGTCGCCCCTGGTCCCCGACATTCTCAGGTGAGACACGGGGGGAAGGAAAGAAAAAAGTACCTCATGTCTCCCCGTCGGGGAATCGAACCCCGGTCTCCCGCGTGACAGGCGGGGATACTCACCACTATACTAACGAGGAAAACCGCGGACGGAGGCGCAAATTCAGCGCCTATAAAGCTACTTACACGTTCGCATTCACTGACCCAGGTCGTTGTCAAAGTTGCAGTTCGCTGTGTAGACCACGTGACAACCGAAACGTAATGGGAGTCGGACAGGAATTTAAATTTCTTAATGGCCACGTTAAAAAGTCAGCAGAAACAGCCAATCATTTCCATCCTTAACCCAGCACATTCATCAGATTTTGTTCATACTTAGTATTCACACAGGCACGTGTGCTACGCTCACACACAACACAACAGAGCTGGGAGGGTCACTTGCCAAGCGAGAGGCCGGGTCCGAACTTAGATGTCACCCACTCGTCGACGAAAGGGACGGGCTCCCACGACCGAGCTGCTCCTGACGTGCTCAGAGGTCACCAGGAGATGAACTGAGGTTGGGTTCAGGGATGCCCATTTATTCAGTTCAGTGACAAACTGCACCTGCTGGGACTCTGGGCGACTGCGGCTCAAAGCTTCCCCCGAGCTCAGCGTTTGAAAAATGACAAAATAGGGAAAGAATGAACCGGCTCAGCGTTTGAAAAATGACAAAATTGGGAAAGAATGAACCGGGGGCATTGCGAGGAAAAGGTTGCGTTGGCCGGGAATCGAACCCGGGTCAACTGCTTGGAAGGCAGCTATGCTCACCACTATACCACCAACGCCGCACGAGGAGCTGCCCCGGAATGCGGTACATGAGCGCAGCGTGGACCGTGCACCTTCCGCACCTGCCTCCCGGTGTCCTCTCTGTAACCCCGAGGCGCCCTCTCTTCAGGACGCGCTCGGCCTCTGGTCTCCGCTGCGGGGCGCCCCAGCACTGGGGTCCGCCGAGCGTCTCACTCCAACGACGATTTGCCGCGGAAGGTCGAGGGTCTCCCTCCGCTGGCAAGGGACCCACCAGGCATGGATCGGCCCCACCGGAGACCGGGCTCAGGAGGAAGGAGTCTTCACCGATTAGGATGTGCTGAGGCAGGAGGAAATAGGAAAGAGGGCCTGGAGGCAGTTTTACTTTCCCTGCTTGGCCAAAGAGTTCAGGGACAATTCTACTTTATGTAAAACTGTAAATAAACTCCGCACTGAGGCATCCTGACGTCATGACGCAGCACGCTAGGAGAAATTTAAAATTAAATAAGAAAAAGAATTCTATCGAAGTCAGGATGGCCGAGCGGTCTAAGGCGCTGCGTTCAGGTCGCAGTCTCCCCTGGAGGCGTGGGTTCGAATCCCACTCCTGACAGTTCTCTTTTCCTTGCTTCCTTTTTTCCTCCAAGCAACAACAGGAATTCGCGGAGAAAGGACTATGAATCAATCACCACCTGTTCATCCTGCGTATCTACCTGTGAAGGTTGTACTGCCCGGCGAATATACAATAGGGCTTTTTTTTTCCCTCTAGGCAGGAGACTAGGCTATGAAATCAGGGAGCAGTTGAGACTAATGTCCATCCCTGTAAAAAAAAGTTTTTTCCTTTAGATTCCAGCTTCTCAGTGCCTATTATCGATTTCTTTATTGACAGCAATGCACTGAGCCTTTTCCATATACCAGATATACCCGGTAGGACAAAAGACTCCTGTGACAGAAAGAAAAGGCCTCACCCCGGGCCCCTGGTCTGCTGCAGTTGGCCAGACTTTCCATGCACAGGCTGGTGTCAAAACCTCAGGCTCCCTGCCCAGACCCACTCCCACGACCAGCTCTAACTCAGTAGCCTTGCGCCCATCACCAAAAGCAGGAAAGAACTCACCAGGCAGAACAGGGTGGGTGGAGTCACAAAGATACGGCCTTGGAGTTGCTTGTTTCAACTCCTTTTTCTTGAAGATCTCGAATAAACCATCCTCTGCTTTGGGAGCAGCTGACTATGGAGAAATCTCATCTTTTGGGGAAGAGGGCGAACTATCGAGCCAAAGAGTTTGGATGTGTGAGGTCCTTAAGTGTGAGAGTGGAAGGACTTTTGGTCGATTAGTGAAACTCTGCCAAACTGCATTCTTTGTTATTTACTAGACTACGGCCTTGGGAAATGACTTGGATTTTTCTGAGCCTTCCTTTGCTGGTAGTAACTCGGAGGAAGAGTCGCTGTATTAGTGAGGTAACCTGGGAGCTCATTAGAAATGCGAACCTCAGACTTCGGCCTCCGCGTTATGAGACCCCCAGGTGTCCCAGAAGCGCATTAAACTCGGTTGGGCCTGGTCTATGCCCTCGGTCTTTGTGCAAGTTGACGTTGAACTTGGCCCATCCTGCCCCTGCTTCTCACCAGGCTCCCTTGACTCGGGATTATGTGAGCACTTGCACTGTCAGACCCTGTGCTTAAAACAAAGGCATAAAAAGTTAAACTGCAAAGTGTGGACCGCAGACCACGGTGGCGCGCTCACAGGAGACGCGAAGAAAGCAGGCGCGGTTGAACCTGAGCCACGTGATCGATGCAACGCCCCCAGCGGTGAGCCCAGGGGACTCCCCAAACCCGCGGGGACTCGCCCCAGGCCATCAGCCTTCCCACACGCCGGTCGGATCACCGAGAAAGCCAGGGGAACCCAAACGGAGGGCGAGCCAGGACCCCGTGCGGACTCGGCGGCAGTGGGAGCCCGCGGCTCGGGCAGCTCCGGAGGCTTGTTACTAATCCCACCAGGAGTGCAGTCGTTCTGTTGCAAAGTCTGCACACCGTTTGGCCCGGAACACAGTCTAACGCTCTCCTACCTCGGGACCGGAAGGGGGCGAACGCCAGAGACCGGAGGAGGTGCAGATCAATACTGAAATAAGGGACCTAGCAGCTTGCGCATTGGTGGTTCAGTGGTAGAATTCTCGCCTGCCACGCGGGAGGCCCGGGTTCGATTCCCGGCCAATGCACGTGGGTATGCTTTTGGGTTTTTCCCTTTTTCCTCCTTTTCTGTGCCCCTCCCGCCACCGTGAGAACTTCTGACTCCGAGCTGGACAAGCCACCTCTCCATCACCGACACGCTTGCAGGGGACTGGGGACCCGGCGTGACCCCGCGGCCCCCGGGGACAGGAGGCCGAGTGAGCACAGAGCACCCCGAGGGGCGCGGGGCCTCGAGCTCTCTGTCCTGTGTCTGGAAGGCCCGGCGCGACCTCGGGGTTCCGCTGAAGGGCCGGCGGGTGCTCTGGGGACGCCAGAGGGGGGACGGGAAAGCGAAGGCGCACCCGCCGCGCCTGGGTCTCGAACCCTCGGCCCAGGAAGCTCTGCATCTGTGAGCGGGGTCTCTGTCCCCAGCCGGCGTTAAGGGTCTTCATTTAAGGTCGACTGTCAGGTAATCTTTGTAATTTGCCCGATTCTAAGGAAACTACTACTCTCTTTAAAGAGACTCCGAAACCCCTTGCTCCCGAAGTGGCTCTTTTCTCCTCAGGTGGCGGGGAAGCTGCGGGAAGCTGCGGGGCCTTGGAGCAGGAAGACAGGCTCAGAGCTCTGCCGGCTTCCTCAAGGGCTACCGCCATCAGCCTCGGCAAGTTGCAGGCTTTAGCTTCATTCATTCTCAGGGTCCAGGCCGGCCAGGCCTGGGTGTCACAGTGGGGACAGTTAGCCAAGGGACTGCAAGAGCAGGGTCCCAACTCAGAAGGGGAGGGTGGCCCGGCCTGTTCAGCGTCTGCCTGTGCAAGCGCCCCCGACCTCTCCGGCCCAGCCCCCAGCAGCCTCAAACACCCACCCGCCCAGCCCAGAGCCCCAGGCCGAGCCCGAAAGCCAGGGCTGTGAAGCCGGACGTGGACCACGCACCACACTCTCCCGGCGCCACTCCCTGCCCTACCTGTTCATTCGGAGGCTACATCTCAGCATCCCGTTCCCGCGGACGGACTTAGTCTGAGCATCTTGAAAAACAGGCCAGACACTACAGTGATGACTTAGACACACATTGCGAGTTTGGGGCGGGGGCGGAGCTACGGCTGAACACAAAAGCGAGCTGCGGAGCGAAGGTGGCCCGGGGTCCCAGACGGTGTCTCTGAAGGTCTGGGGCACAGCTCCCCTGACATCCTGGCACAAGTCGTTCTGCGCTGCAGCCGCAGCTCCCTCAATGCTCAAATGAGGAGACTGGACTACGTCACGCGTTTAAAATTCTCTACATGTACTAAAGAAGTTACTCATTCCACAAATATTTATTGAGTTCTTTACCATGTGCCAGACACTGACCCTGGACCCTAAGTATATACAGTAGTGAATTCTGACGGCAGGAGGGCTGGACAATCAACCATTACACAGGTGACCACACAGTGTATCCGTCGGTGATAAATACCATGAGGAAAAACACGGAGGGGGATTAGGAGACCGTGGGGGACTGCAGTCACACTGACCGAGCCAGGAGGCGCTGGGTACAGACCACGATGAGACACCTGCACGAAAGAACATTGGGAAACAGGGAACAACAGAAGCCTGAGCAGAAGTAAGACTGATGTGTTGCCGGGGGTAAGAAACAGACGAGGCTGAGGCCAGAGCCGGGCAGGAGGAAGTTCAGGGGGAGCCTAAACACACTGCAGAGGCTGTAGCTTTTAAGTGCAAGAGGAAGTTACCGTGCGGCTTTGAGGACAGAAGTGACAGATGAACAGTGAACACACATTTTTAAAAGGTCACTGGCAGCTGTGAGAACAGACCGTAGGGAAGGCTGCTGGGCCCTCCAAGCGAGGGACGATGGCAGCTGAGGGACGCGGCTGGCGAACAAAGAAGTGGTCAGAGGGGTGGGTTTGTTTTGAAAGCAGAAGCAGGATTTAGTGAGTTTTGTGTGTCTGAGGAGCCTCTGTCTAGGACACGCGAGAACACATTTGCTGTCAGTCCTGGCAGAGCTGGACGGCTGTGCCCGTGCCTAGACCTTCGGGGGTCCGTAAGGGCCTGGAGCCGTTCGGCTCTGAAGCTTAAGGCCCTTCCTGTGCAATGGGCACCTGAGCCCAGGTCGCTTGAGGGGCTGGGCAAGGGGGAGAGGTCTGGCCTGAAGAGGCACTGCAGCTGTGACGCCTCAGGATGAGGGGTCATTTGTCCTCGAGGCTCTTGCTCCATGTGACCATGTCATTCTCCAGGTCGCCCATCGAACTCCAAAGTTCCTTGCGCACAGAGAAGTACAGCCCCGTGTCCACCGCAAACAGGAGTCCCATCACCAGGCAGAAGGCAATCTGGAGCCACGGTAGAGAGACCGGTGCGATGGATGGAAAGGCCGGGTCTGCTGGAAGAGGCAGAGGACACATGACAGCTGTGAAGGCAGAAACGTGGGGCCCACCGCCGGGCCCCGGAGATCCCTCCGAGGACCCGGTGGGGAGCAGGCAGGTCCGAGTCTGCAGGGCACCTCTCTCCGCTGCATCTCCCTGAGCCAAGCACTGGGCCCGCTCCCCCAGGGCCCACCCGGCACTCGTCGGGGAGCAGGGACTGTGACGCAAGTCAGGGGTTCAGGACGCCCTCCCAGGGGTGGGCCGCTTCCCCTCACTCCGGGATGCTTTTCAGCTGAAGACAGTCAAGACCCTGCCGGCTCACAGGAAACTCTTGTCTGTCCCTTACAGAATGTAAATTAGGGGCCTTGGCCCTGATCAGCGCTATCACCAGAAATAACGTCTGATGGCCCGTCTGGGGGGCAGGAAAACTGCCAGGTACTGAATCTCTTCATCCCGCTAACAGTCACCTCCTCTCACGAGCCCCAGGTCTCTTACCTCGCCCTTCGCTCACCGCGGCGTCTCTCCCTCATCACCCCTTTCTGTCCCTGCACCTCTCCTGGCTCGTCTGTGAGGTTCCCAGATACACATATGTAACTAAATTGGCTCAATTTCTCATTGACCTGTCTCGTGTCAATTTAAGGATTAGACCAGGTGAAAAGGTCAAGGACATTTTCCTTCCTCCCCCACGAGGTGACAGAGGAAACGGTTTTGTGGGCATGGAGGTTTGGTAAACGCCTTATGCCACTGAGTCGAAACGTTTTCTTCACAACAGCACCTCCTGGACCTTCGTGTCATCAGGACTGTAAAAGCCGTGCGAGGTGCTCCGTGGCTGGGACCCGGCCTTCGGGGATGGAGAGCTCGGGAACCCACAGACCACATCAACAGCAGCTCTCTCACCAGCTCCCGTGCCCAGGGCTGGGTGTGGCTCGCTAACTAGCCCCAGCCAAGCAGCAGTGGCTGGCGGCGCCCCCTGAAGAGGCGCGTCTGGGTGTTACGATGCTCTGCTTCCCAACAGCAGACTCTGTACCTGGGAGACTGTTGGGCCACGTGGTTGCCCTGAGCCCGGAGCGGAGCCTCGGCTGAGAGGGACTTGTGGGGGGCACCCTCGGGCCTCGGGGTCCTACAGACAGGGGGACACAGGACACAGCGGAGTGGTTTGAATGGAGGGGAAAGGGGGTGGATGTCCTGCTAGATGAACCTGAGAGGATGGGAAGGTGGCTTTTGTCCCTCGAGAGTTCAAACTACAAATGAATGACACCATTTCTGTGCTCCCTTAGCCGTGGGGCTGGAACAGAACCGCAGGGCCACCCAGCACACAGGTTGGGCCAGGACCCCGTGGGTTCCCCTTGAAGCCCACCCTACCCATCCGTCCAGGCCTGAAGCTCCTTGAACAGCCCTGGCCCCCACCTTGAATGTCGATGCGCACAGGGTGGGACTCGTGCCTGTTCCGCCCCATGAATCCGGAGCAGTGGTACTTGCCGCCGTGGCTGACGTTAGCGTGTGGGATGAAGAAGCTGGAATTGGCGGGGGAGTACCACTTGGCTATGCCGTCCTGGAAGAACGAGATCTTGAACAGGGGCTGGCTCTTCCAACTGTGGCACCTCAGCACGAGGGGGTCGCCCTCCCGCAGCAGCAGGCGCGGGGTCTGCAGCAGCAGCCAGTCTGGAGGACACGGAAGGGAAGGGAAGATGCTGACGCCGGGTGCCTGGGGCTGCAGTGCTCACGGAGGTGAGAGGGTTTCGGGTGGGGAACGAAAGATGCTTCCTGGCAGATAGATGAGTGTCCCTGTGAGTCTTCAGAGGTTTCAGATACAAAGAGTAGGAGCCCGCTCCCCGGGGGGAGACGGGGGTGAGGCAGGAGGAATGAAACCCACTGCACTGCAGTAGGGAAATTAGCACATTTCAGCAGCAGCAGAAGTCACAGAACAGGACCTGAAACCCTTCTCTTTCTGTGGACACAGCATTTATGGTCTGCGGATGACTAACTCAATGGCAACATTTGACCAAGTTTTCGGAAGTGAGGAAGCGACCAGCAGAGCCCTAAGAAAGCCTCACCCACCCTGAATGGAATCTTCCATCCACAAAAGCAGTGAAAGTGTGTGAGTTCAGGATTCAGATGGGACTCTGCACGGGCGGAGCAAGTTCAGATTCGGCTGCCACAGGCTGCCCCCAAACAGCTCCACCCCCAGGCACCCCTCCCTCCTGACAGCAGAGCGATCAGATTCCAGAATGCAGGTACTTTGGAGGACAAGTCTACAAGGAATGTTTCCCCAAAACCCGTCTAGAAACAAATCCCATTGCTCTAATTGCTGTAAAAATAAGTACTATAATTTATTACACCGCGTTTAAATGAAAACATTTAAGAAAACCATATTCTGAATATGAAAGACAGGGTATAGTTTTGTTTTTTATCGATTGATTTTAGAGAGAGACAAACATCGCACTGATTGCTTCTTGTACGTCCCCTGACCAGAGGTGGAACCCACTGCCTTGGTGTATGGGGCGATGCTCTAACCCACCCGCCTGCTGGCCAGGACCAAACAAGGTATAGTTGATAAGACAGTGCAAAACAGAAATCTGAAGTCAGGGTTCTGATTTTGGCTTTTACCATTAACTTCTGGGCTCTGAGACCCCCCCTGGGCTTAATGTCTTTGTACAATGAAGGGGTGAGACCGGGTGGTTTCCCTCTAACCGCCCTTCAGATCCAAATTTTTTTAAATCCTAATTCTTCTGTACTTCTGGGCAAGACAGCAGCGCAGGTAAACGTGGTACGTCTCCTCCCACAACCACATCAAAACTACAACTAAACTGCAGAACAACCATCACTCGGAACTGCCTGAAGCTAAGCTGGACGGAACTCCTACAGCTAAGGGATTAAAGAAGAATCTATTTGGGACTGGTAGGGTCGGTGGGGACACGAGAGTGGCTGGCCCCGCACCCCTGCGTGACAGGTAAAAATCAGGACGGACATCTGGGCTGCTGAGGTGCCTGCCCCGCACTGGGTCCCTTGGCTCAAGGTTCCAGTGCCAGGAAGAGAAGTGCCCATAACTTCTGGCCGTAAAAACCAGCGGGGACTGCGGATGAGACTGAGGTTCCTGGAGTCCCAGGCAGTTCCTCTTAAAGGACCCGCACATGGACTTATTTGGACTCACCCCCTCTGAGCTCCAGCACTGGGGCAGCAGCTTGAAAGGCACCAGACAGACACAGTCAGGAAGGGAAGTGTCCACATCAAGGCAACAGTTACGGGAAAGCCTTCTCCCGGACAGAAGAGCCCTCCCCTGCCCCGCCCCCACAGAGCCAGCTGGCAGGCAGGTGGCCTGAGTCTCCATCGACCTGGCTCACACTGTTTGCCCCACCCTGGTGATGCCCTGAGACCCCACCCCACCCAACTCTGGGGCCCACCCAAGCAGTTCCCAGTGGCTTTTCCATATGAATGGCTTGTCTTGGCTCATGCTTCAGATTTTCCTAAAATCTCTCAAACAAACGACATCTGGCCTGCACCTCTTTCTGAATGGCCCCAGGCCCGGCACTAACCTGAGCACCTCCAAGCCCAGCACAAGGAGCGGATCATCTGCAGACCCCTTTGTAGCCCATGCCCGGCAGCCCTGGACAGAACACAGGTGGGGCCACCTGGGCCTGCACCTCCCAGGGGACCGCGTGGCCAGCGCACGCAGTGGGCAGTTTCAGTCCACGTCAAAGCACCACCACCGGACAGACAACACACGCGGAGGGCAAACTCAGCGGGCACCAGAGCCGGCTGAAGTCCGTCCCGTTCTGCGGGTGGGCCGTGCCCAGTCGATGCTCTACTGTGGTCAGTGGTCACACCAACTGGCCTGGGGGTGAATCCCTCCCATCGAAGCACAGACAACAATCAAGTCTCGGCTACAACCAGAGGGTGTTGTGTCCACCCCGTGTGCCTGAGACAGGACAGTAAGAAGCTAGAATTCGTGGGCCAGCGGAAGGAAACAGACAAGACAATCAAACAAGGCCAAAGACCTGGAGTAACTCACAGCAGCAGGCGAACGGCCAGGCCTCATCTCTCCTGACCCCAACCCTCCATAACCCACATGCATCCCGTAGACAGGAATTCTGGTGCGAATCGAGAGAACACACTGGAACAAAGGAGCCGGCTTGGGAAGAAGCCACAGGACTACCCTTTCGGCTCCCTCCTCCCGAGAGCAACAACGCCGCAAGTCTCCGCTCCCCTTAGGAATTTCCCCTCCCAATTTCCCACATTTCCTCAACATAAATTTGCTTCTGAAATCTCAAGGCAAGGTAAGCATTGGGGTTTTACCTGCCACCTTCTCAGACTGCGGCCTCTGATGTGAACAAAAGCACAGTTACAATCCCGTCCCTGCCTCTGCTTTTTGGCTGGGTGGCGACGGGCAGCAGGAGCCCCGACTCGGTCGCCCTCAGGCTCCAAGCCCACACGGCAGGGGGGCAAGTCAAGGGGCGCAAGCACAGCTGTGGTGCCCAGGTTGGGTGTCTGAGGAGGCTGAGCCGCTGGACCCCACGGACACCGACCGCATTAGGCCGCTCCACCAAGCCCAGGAGACGCAGCAGCTCTTCCTGGTACATAGAAAGAAGCTCAGAGAGGCCGCCAGAATGAGGAGACAAAGAAGCATGCCCCAAAATGAAAGAAGAGAAGTCCAGAAAGAGAACTAAATAAAATGAAGACAGACAGTCTAGCAGATGCGGCTCCGTGAACTTAGGGGAAGAGTAGGTGAACCTGGAGAGAACTCCAACAGCACCAAAAAGGACATGGAAACCATGAACAAGAGCCAGTCAGAACTGAAGGGCACACTAACTGAAAGGAAGGACGATTTACAGGGAATCAGCGGTGGAAGGGAGGAAGCTGAGAATCACACCAATGACCTGGGAGATAAGGAAACAAAAACACCCAATCAGAACAGTACAAAGAAAAAGGAATTTCAAAACCGAGGAAGGTAAAAGAAGCCTCTGGAACAACTTCAGGCAAACCAGCATTTACGTCAGGAGGGCGCTGGGAGGAGGAGAGAGGGAGCAGGACGTTGAAAACCTGTTTGAAAAAAATACTGACGGGAAATTTCCCTGCCCTAGTGAAGGAGAGAGGCAAACAAGTGCAGGAAGCACAGACAGCCCCGGGCAAGATGAACCCAGAGAGTCCCAGCCAAGACACATCACGGTTAAAACGCATCAGGGCACACGCCTGGGCTTGCAGACCAATGTTTCTCTCCCTCTCTTTCTCCCTCCCTTCCCCTCTCTGTAGAAATAAAGTCTTCTTTAAAAAGTTATTTCTGGTGATAACTCTTAATTTAAATTCTTGAAGGGAGAGGTAAGAGTTTCCAATGAACTTGCTGGTCTCAGCTGCCTGCAGCGCAAAATAACTCACGTGCAAAGTAGCGCACCTTGGGGAGGGCCGTTCCGAATCCCCACGTCAACACCTACTCCCTTTTCAATGGAGTGTCATCAACACAAAGTGACCACCACCAGGATCTCTCTGAGACCAGAACCTTAAGAGACGGAAACTCACCCTGAAGCGGATTGTAACACCGCGGGCTGCCATGCCGCCCTCCTCCGAGGCGCAGCCGGAGGCAACCGCAGCACACGCGTGCTCACATCCCAGACCTGGGGGGGGGGCTTGTGTTTGGGGGGATTTCTCTGCAGGTTCTACTACGGTGGACACTCAGGGGTACACTTAAGCCTGAGTCAGATCAGGTGACTCCCTTAAGTAGAACCATCTAACAAACCCTCATCATGTACAGAAATCAAAGATAACGTACGTTACTGCAACAATCCGCAAGCCCACCCCCACTTCCGACCTCATCCTCCCCTGGCCTCCTGCGCCCTCAGCAGACAAACTTCCTCGGGCGTGCCCAGAGCACCCCACCTGACGGCCTGTGCCACCCGTGGCCTCCGACCTCTGCCCCAGGGTTGAGCGCAGTGCCGGGAGGGTGGGAAGGTCTCCTTCTGCCTCCCTCACCCCCGGTGGCCTCGTGTGGCCTTGCCACCTTCTTGCTTAATCAGGACTGAGGCCAAACAACCTCAGAGTCCCGAGGCACCCCACATGGAAGCAAAGGCGGGGGCTGGGGGTGGGAAGGGAAATGACTGGGCAGAAAGGCCTCGGCAGCTCACGGCCATGCCCCCCAGGGACCGGCCACCCCCGCCCCTCGGCCCCCGCGGCCCTGTCAGCAGATCTCAGGTCCCGGTCCCCCGGACCCTCCCGGGGCTCCTCCGCTGACCAGAAGTGACGTTCAGGTGCGCAGGGTCGCTGAGGCTGGTCTGGTCAGTCTGGCACCTGTAGTTCCCAGTGTCGTTCATGGTGGCCTTAAAGCTGAAGTGGGGCTGGACCTGGGTCGGGATGGGGGTCCCGTCACGAGACCACTGGGTGGGGCCGTCCCCGGGGCCGTGGGGCCCCTGGCAGTGCAGAGTCACGCTGTCCCCCCGGAGCACGTTGAACCAGGGGGGCTCCAGGCGCACCACGGCCTTCGGGAGACCTGCTGAGGGGCGGAGTGCAGACAGGGAGGGGGTAACTGACCTTGGAGGGGCCGCGGACGGCAAAGGCGCTCCCAGGGGCACCCGGGGGCCAGAGCCCATCACAGACCCCACGACGGACCCGTGTGCTGCCTGCAGCCCAGTCCCTTCACTTCTCTGGGTCTTTGCTGGATCCAGTACAAATGTTCCCACAAATCAAAACCCAGGCTCCCCCCAACGCGGGGAACAGCCTGGGCTGAGCCCAAGCCCGGTTCTTGGTGGGACAGGCAACAGCCACAAATGCAAGGAGTCGCGGGCAGACTCACCAGCTCCCCCATCTGCAGCAGCTGTGGATGAGAAGAGCGTGAGTGAGTGCAGGGGAGGGGAAGCTGTCATTGTGTGACAAGATGTCACTGTGTGTGGCTGCGGGGCGGGGGAGGGGTGTGCGTTCCAGCTCCTTCCTCCCCCGGGACCCCTCTCAGAGCCTGTTCCCCTCCATCTCCTGTAACGCGCTCCCTGCTCCAGCCCTCATGTCGTCCCTGCAGAGTGAGTGGGTGTTTGGTAGGGACCAGCGAGCGGGCTGGGACGCAGGGCTCTCGCCCTCCTTTCCACCTGGGGCCGGCTCCCAGGGCCCTGCCCCTCACCACCCGAACCCCAGGGGCTGAAACCGCCCTCCCCGGGGAGACTGTCACTCACCCAGCAGCAGCAAAGCCCACGCTGTCCACAGGCGAAGCAGCCACGGGCTGCCGGGATGCACACGCCGAAGCATGCTGGTCTCCCAAGTCCACCCAGGACCCAGCCGGAGTCCAGCGGTGTTGCGGAGGTGAACTGGGGGAAGAGGAAGGAAACCGTTTCCCCCACCCGCCGTCACAGCTTTCAACAGTCACCAGACTGTTTCTGCTCACGAATCAGCAGTAACAACTCAAACCAGGAGCTGAGTCTGCTGGTTTGCAGACTCCGGTGTGTGCTGGTGAAGGCCCTGGGGCCAGGGCGGGGGTGGGGGGTGGGCGTGCTGGTGAGGGGCTGGGGAATGTCCGGGAAGCGGAGCTGGGCCCTCGGCGTGGGGTTTTGGATCTGTGCCTCCCCAGACACCCCTGCACACCTCTGGGGGGCACACAGACAGCTCTCAATGAGCGTGATGCAGACGCGATAAAGAAACCCGTTTATATGTGCTGCCAATAAGAATCTACTACGTTAAACAACCACAGCCCAATGGAGTAGTCATCTGTGGGAAGGACTCAGCCCCAGAAAATCTGTAATACACCACTGTTCTTCCTTCACCTGGACTTCACACCTGGTTCCTCCCAACCCTGCAGACACGAAAGGAAGTTTTCAAGTTCAAGAATAACTGTTAAGAAAGACGTCACTTCCAAGGCTGTGGATCCTGTGCAGGTGGTTGAGCAGCGTGGTACTGGGTTAAAGCTCAGACAGGGGGGATATGAAAGCAAGAATAGACAAATGGAACTACATCAAACTTAAAACTTCTGCACGTCAGTCAACAGAGGGCACAATAACCTATGGATGGGAGAAAACATTTGCAAATCATTATCTGATAGGAGCTTAATATCCATAATGTATAAAGAATTTCTACAAATCAACAACAATAAAAACAAAAAAACCCTGACTTTAAACGGACACACCCACGCCTTTCCCTTCCCCTTTTTCCTCCCCCACCAGCTGCATCTCCTAAACTCTGAGGGACCCCACAGCTCGTCCCCGCCCACCAGGCCCCTCACTTCCCACCCTCCAGTGAATGACAGCAGCCACGCCCTCACTTGCAGCGTTTCTAGAGCGTGGAGCCGCCCTGCCTGCTCTCCCTGCTGCAGCTTCCTCCAATCTGGGTTCTGCCTTATTTCACTGTCTCCAGCTTTAATACACGTTCTCTCGAAATAAAAATAAATAAATAAGTAAAAGACTGGAGTAGACATTTCTCCAAATCAGATACATAAACAGCCAACAAGCACAGGAAAAGATGCTCGACATCAATGATTGTTAGAGTCATGCAAATCAAAGCCACAAGGTATCACCTCGCACCCGGTAGAATGGCCACAAAGCAGAGAGAAAATAACGAGCTCTGGGGAAGCTGTGCAGAAACTGCAACACTTGTGCCCGCTCGTGGGAACTAAAACGCCGCGACCGTGACGGAAATCGGTAGGTGGGTGCTTCGCAGAATTAAAGATAGAACTACGGCATGACCCAGCAATGTTGCTTCTGGGTATTTATCTGAAAGAATTCCAAGCAAGATCTCAAAGAGATGTTTGCACAGCCATGTTTACTGAAGCATTTTCCATAATAAACCAACAGCTGGGAGTGACTCAAATGTGTATTCAGCCTTAAAAAACAAAGTCCTGCCATGTGCTACAACACACACTGATCCTTCGGGAAGTATCCAGAGCCGGCCCAACTCACAGAAACAGAAAGTGGCGGTGGTGGCTGGGGGGAGGGGCGGGGCGCTGGGGCTGTTTCGCTGAGTGGACACAGAGTTTCAGTTTTGAAAGATGAAGTTCCGGAGACCCGCTGCACAGCAGGCTGAGCACCGCTGACTGCCCTTTGAAAAATGGTTGGCAGTGAGTTATGTGTTGTGTGGGTTTTTTTTTAAAGCACAGTTTCCTTAAAAAAAAAAAAAGTCAGACTATGGGATTTTAGACAAGGTACTTGGCTCTCAAACTTTGGTTTTCTCATCTGTAAAATGGACACTGTCTGCTACCAACTAAATGGTACTTAATTAAAAGTAGCTTTTGCTTTTAGGAGCGCTGACGAAGGTTGTTCGGAAACCTTGGAATGTTTCTGGACGTGTGACTCTTCCTTCCCCATATGACCGCAGCTCTATGATCTCATGTTTTTCTCTCAGTCAGAGCTCTTCCTGGAACTTTCAAGAACCTCGAAGTCCCCAGCCCAAACGCCCTCCTTCCTCCCCAGGCTTCCTTGCAGGCAGAAGTGTGGACACAAAGTTTCGTTATTGGTTTGCAGCCTGGCCTCCCTCACACATACCACGGGACTCTCTAACTCGCAGACTTGCCTTATCCCAGCTTTCTTTCCAACGTCTTTTCCGATTACCCCATTAGCATACCCGGAATTGTTCATTTCACATGATCGCAACTGCTCTTAACAGCTGTTCTTATTACTCATCCTACGAAAGTGTTACCACTGGACATCGGTAGTACCACCAAAATACTCTCCAGCCACTCCCAGTCCCCCGGGAAGCAGGGAACGGAATGCAGGCACCTTGTTTCAGAACCAGAATTTAGGATAAACCAGTAGGTTTCTTCTTTGCATCAAAGAAAAGAAGCAAGTTAAGCATCACATCTGGTGACAGCTGATTCAAGCTGCTTACACTGGAATTGAAGGGCAGAATATTCATTTATAGAATCACAGGAATAGAATGCTGGAATCCAAACCCTTCATTTTTATCCGGTGAAACCAGGGCCCGGCCCTGGGCTGTGAGTGGGCCCAGGACACACATCTCTTAAGTGCTGAGGTTGGGGTCCTCGCTTCTCCACCCCCCCCCCTGCACTTCCCACTCAGGACCTCCGGGTTACCAGGTCCACCTGTCCGATTGTCTCAGTTATTCGTCTTTCCATGATTCAAGAGTAAGATCGCCGGACTGGAAGCTTCTCAAGGCTAGGGACCCCAACAGATGCACGACACTTATTTTTGCTGAACTGAATAAATGGGCATGGGAAGGCAAGAATATCTGATCTGAGGGGCCTCAATTACTGACTCTTTTTTGTAGTAGTTGTCAGACAGAAGGCTTGGTGTCCACTTCTCTAAAATGACAGCTGGCAGGGAAACATTTCCCTAGAGTTTAGGTGTTTCCTATTTTCTTTCATTAAAAGTTGGGATGAGAAAGTCCATATGAGCTGCATCTGCACCAATTTACATGAGTCAGAACGTTCGTCCCTGAACTTGGACACCGTTGAGTACAGTCAACATGATGTTTAGGTAGAAACCCCTCAGCGTAACTGGCACTAAGAAGCTCTGTGAACCTCACAAAACAATGTTGCACCGACTGACTGATTTTTGTTAACTAGTATCTGTTCGTTGCTTTCCACTCCGGGTAAAGTTAAGCAGGGCAGCTCACAGTGTGCTGCTGCGTTGGCAGCAGACTGGAGGTTCTGGGGTTTAAAGGGCAGGTTTAAAATTGTGTTCAGGAACGAGTATCAAGTGTTCACAGTCAGGGAATTCTTCCAAATAAATCATCAAGAGCACTTGTTGACTTCCGGCCACGATGGAGGCATAGGTAGAAACGCTTTGCCTCCTCCCCAAACCAAAAGAAGGACAACAACCAATTAAAAGAAGAAGAAGAAGAAAGCCCTGGCTGGTGTGGCCCAGTGGAGCGCTGCCCTGGGGACCGGAGGGCCGCCGGCTCGATTCCCAGTCAGGGCGCCTACCTGGGCTGCTGGCCAGGTCCCGTCACAGGACCAGCGAGAGGCAACCACACGCTGAGAAGCAATCACGCACTGTTTCTCTCCTTCTCTCTCTCCCCTCTCTAAAATGAATCTTTAAACAATGACAACCAGAACCAGAAAATGGAATTGTACGGAACTGTGTGGAAGTGGTGGGAACATTCATCCAGACCAGACCAGTAGGAGGGCTGGGGCGGCGGGGGGGCAGATGTGCAGCGAGGACCGGGAGGCTGAGGCGGCCGCTGCTAGAGCGGGCAGCCCCACATCTGCATTCCAATAAGCCTGGGGAGAGAAAACTGGGGGGCAAGAACTAGGGGGCAAGACAGACCAAGCAACCCAAGGCTCCAGAACCTCCGACTGCAAAAACCTGGTGGGGGGGGGGGTTGCGGGGGCAGGAGAAACTGCCAGCCTCACGGGAGATTCACTGGAGAGACCCACAGGGTCCTAGAGAACAGAGCAAGCAGCACTGTTCCCTCCCGGGCCACATTCAGCACCACAACGCTGCGACGTGGGTTGTCCTGCCCTGGCTAATACCTAAGGGCCAGACAAAGAAATCTGGCCCGAATGAAAGAACGGATCTAAGCTCCAAAAATGGAACTAAGCGAGGAAGAGACAGCCAACCTATCAGATGCCGAGTTCAGAACACTGGTGATCAGATGCTCACAGAAATGGTTGAGTACAGACACAAAATAGAGAAAGAAGGCTATGCAAAGTGAAATAAAGGAAAATATACAGGGAACCAAAAGTGAATGGAAGGAAACCAGGACCCAAATCAATGATTTGCAACAGGAGGAAGAAAGAAACATTCAACTAGAATAGAAGGAAGTAACAAGAATTTTTTTAAAATGAGGAGAGCTAAGGAGCCCCCAGGACAACTTTAAACGATCCAACATTCTAACCATAGCGGTGCCAGAAGCAGAAAAGGAAGAACAAAAAATTGAAAACTTATTTGTAAACGTAATGAAGGAGAACTTCCCCAATCTGGCAAAAGAAATAGACTTCCAGGAAGCTCAGAGAGTCCAAACAAGTTGGACCCAAGGAAGCACGCACCAAAGCACATCATAATTACATTAGCCAAGATTAAAGAGAAGGAGAGAATCTTAAAAGCAGCAAGAGGAAAGGAGACAGTTACCTACAAGGGAGTTTCCATGAGTGTGTCAGCTGATTTCTCAAAAGAGACCTTGCAGGCAAGAAGGGGCTGGAAGGAAGTATTTGAAGTCATGAAAGACAAGGACCTACATCCAACATGACTCTATGCAGGAAAGCTATCATTCAGAATGGGAAGGCAGATAAAGTGCTTCCCAGACAAGGTCAAGTTAAAGGAGTTCATCCTCACCAAGCCCTTATTACATGAAATGTTAAAGGGACTTATTTAAGAAAAAGAAGACCAACACTATGAACAGTAAAATAAGAACAAACTCACAACCACCAACAACTGAACCTAAAAACAAAAACAAACTAATCAAACAACTAGAACAGGAACAGAATCACAGAAATGGAGGCCACATGGAGGGTTATGAGCAAGGAGGGAGAGGGGGGAAGGTACAGGGAATAAGAAGCATAACCAGTAGGTACAAAATAGACAGGGGGAGGGTAAAAATAGTGTAGGAAATGGAGAAGCTGAAGAAATTACATGTACGACCCATGGACATGAATAAGGGGGAGGGACGCTATTGGGAAAGGGGATGCAGGGCAGAGGGGAATAAAGGGGAGAAAATTGGGCCAACTGTAATAGCATAGTCAGTAAAATATATATATTTTTATAAAGAGCACTTGGAAGTCTGAGAGCTGGTTTACAGATAAAGGGAGAATTTTTTGGTGAATAACAAAGGCAACGCCCACTGCTGTTGGCCCACTGCAGGCTGACTTCCCGCGCTCACCCGGCCACCCCAACAGACGGCTGGGAGAAGAGAAGACCTCCTCCTGGTGAACCTGATAGGAGTGATTTGGGCCAAGTACACCTGTAGAGCAACAACTCTGCCCTGCGGAGGACGGTGAAGGCTGGAGTCACACAGCCGGACCCCACGGGGGTTACACAGGAGACAGATAACCTCAAGCTTCAGCTGAACGAGGCTGTAACTTGTGCAGCAGACACATGTATCAGTAGACAGCCTGGGAAGGGAACGGTCCGTGCCCGCAGCATCTCCCTAAGTTTGCCAAACGTCCGTGAGCTGCATCTCACCAGCCCCATAAAACAAACGCGGAGCCCATGTCCAGGGCTCATGGTCTCTCCATCAGAGGACAATGTCCCATCCGGCCCCCGCTTTTCCTTAAACTGTCTGTGTTGTGTCTTTTCTCCATCTCCCGTCGACCCCACTCAGGAACCCCCACTCCGCGCTGGTCGCGGCACAGCTCGACAGAAATGTAACATGAACCACACGAGAAAACTGCAATTTTCCAGTAGCCACCTTTAAACAGTACAAAATAAAGTCAAACAACGAGTCGTCCCACCCCTGAAGGGGACAGTCTCTCTAGCACAGAGGAAGCTACAAGTGTATCCGCTGTACATTAGTTTTCGGACACAGCGAGGTGCAACACAGGAAAACCGAGGGGACGTGGCGACACCGCGGTAGGCGACACTGCGAGCACAGAGCAGACGCCTTCCCTGCCCGGCCCTCGCCCACTCACCTCCCGCGGGTCCCGCCATCGCCCGAGGAGGACGCTTGGAATCCGCGCGGACGTCCCGGGGGCGGCGGAGAGCAGCGGGCGGCGCCGTCGCGGTCGGAGGTCTGGCTTCCCAACCGCCTGCAGTTTCACTTCCTGCCGCCGGGGGGCGTCCTTCCCGGCTCCGAGTCGCGGTCCCCGCGGGCCCGGAGGTCCGGAGCGCGGCCACCGCCGCCCGGTGTCGCCTAGAAAGCGCAGGACCACGTCCACTCGTGTCCTCACACGCACAAAACCTCGGGGCAAATGCCGGGTCGGGGACTTGCCGGGAGGCAGGGCCAGCGGGCGGGCGTCCCACCCGTCGCCCGGGTCCCCGGGCCGCACCCCCTCCGCCGCCGCCGCAGGGCCGGGAACGGGCCGTTTGCTCTGGGAGGGTCCGCGCCGCTGGGAGGCGAAGCACTAACACGGTGACGTGGTGACTTGCCGGTTTCCCGGAATCCACTCGTGTTCCAGGTCTGCGCGACCGAGCGCCACAAACTCGGAGGCTTAAGCGGCAGAAACGGCTCGTCCCGCGGGCTCGGGGGCCACAGTCCGAGCCGAGCCTCCCCGGCCCCGCGGGAGGTTCTGTCTCCGCCTCCGCGGGGAAAAGCCAAAACGCAAAAAGCGAGCTTCCCTGACCGGGAATCGAACCCGGGCCGCGGCGGTGAGAGCGCCGAATCCTAACCACTAGACCACCAGGGAGCGGCTGTAGGGAAGTGGCGCCCAACCGCTCCTTCTGCGCGCGGAGCCTCGGGGACGCGGACACGGCGCCGCCCGGGGCCCTGCACGCGCACGCGCCCCCGGGCCTCCGCCGGCCTGCGCGCCCCCGGGCCACCCTCGCAGGCAGTCACCGCTCTGCAAGGCACCTCCAGAGAGGAAACCACACAAATGGCCGAGGTTGTTGCGCGTACCTGCCACTTGGCCAACGGCCGCGGGACTGAAACCACAGGCTTAGGGGACCTCTAGGGTCCTTGCACGCGGAAAGCTTTTCTTTTGTGGCGTTTTCCACGCGGGCGGAACGCCATGCCGGGGTTTGGAATGGGCCCAGGACCCCAAGCACAACGTCATTCTGGAGCCCCGCAAAAGGGCCACCCGTTGCGCTGGCCGGGAATCGAACTCAGGTCCACTACTTGGAAGGCAGCTACTGCACGGCCCGCGCCGCGCCGCCGCCGGTTTCCCTGGCTACGCGGCCGCGACTCCGGCCGCCCAACCCTCCCGACTCCTCGCTCCTCCGCGCGCCCGAAGCTGCGCCCTTCCCTGGGCGGCGCGGACCACCGACCCCGCGCCCCACGCGCGCCCGGCCCACACAGCGGCCTCAGTGCGCCAGCCCGATCGCCTTTCCGCGGCGCCCTCGGCCCCCTGGCTGCTCCAGGTCCCTCGGTTCCGCGCCGGGGCCGCCCCGCGTCCCCAGGGCCCGGGTTGCCACGGGCCACCTCCGCCGGTGCCACCGCCCGCAGCGACAGGGCGCTCGTCCGGCCTCCCGCCTGCCCGGAGCCCATTCCTCCGGCCACTTCGGGCGGCCTGGCGCTGCGGGGCAAGACGTCGCCCGGCTGCGGCGACGGAGTGCCCTGCGGGGAAGAAGGGAAAGTCGGGGGCAGAGGACCGGGGAGAAGGACCCGGACCGGCGAGGAGCTGGACGGAGGGCGGGGCCCACGACCAAAAGGTCGACGTCGCCTCCCCGTCGGGGAATCGAACCCCGGTCTCCCGCGTGACAGGCGGGGATACTCACCACTATACTAACGAGGACAGCCGCGCCAACTCTTGACACCCGCCCTTCTGTCCCCGCCGCGTGCACCCGACCTGGACGCGCCGCTGGACGTGGGCGCGTGCCCCCCCCCCGCCCACGGAACCCCCCGGCCCTCCCACGAGACTGCGGCCAGCCCGACCCGAACAAGCCCCCGCCCCCGTCCCGACATGAGTGGCGCTGAAAACAGTGCGCCTGCCTCTGGCCTGCAAGGCGGACGGCAGCGGTGCTCGCGGCGGGTCCCATGAAGGTGAGCGAGGAGCACCCAGCGCACGGTCAGGACGGCCGAGACCGCTAAGGCGCTGCGTTCCGGTTCGAGTCCCACTCCTGACCCACTCCTGACAAGCGCCCAAAATATTTGCACGCGCCCGGGGCTGGACACCACCCCTCGCAGCCCTTCTCTGCCTCACACTCGCTCCCAGGCTGGGACCTGCAAACTCCGGCCTCTGCGCCCTCAGCTGCGGCCTGGCGCGGCAGCAAAGCCCAACGGGTGCCCCGTCCGTCGGCCGCAGGGCTCCTCTGAGCCCGCACCGTGCCCCCGTCTCCCGGCCGACCCACCGCAGCGGGGCTGCGGCCCAGGCCGTCGGCCGGTGCGGGGCAGTGAGGTTCGCACACCTTCGGTCTGTCTCCTGGTCTGTACGCTCCGTGCGCTGTCCCGCCTCCAGCGTCTCCTTCCGATCTCCGCCGGCTCGCTCTGCCCGGTTTCCCCCACGCAAGGCCCTAACCGGGCAGGGAACACGAAAGCCCAAGAGAGTTTGGGTCGCGCCTGGGAGTCGCTGAAAGGAACGTGGGCCCTCGGCTGCTCACCCCACACATCGCCTGCCCAGCTCGGAGTCCGGGCGCGGGCCAGCCTCGGTGCGGCTCCCGGCCTCCTCCGGCGACGCCGACAGTCGCGGTGGCCCTGGACGGCCGCGAGTCCTCTTCCGTCCTCTTGTCCTTCCACTCCGCTCTCCCCGCGGTAGGATGTCTCCGTGCCACGTCCCTGGACGCGCCTGCAGACTCTGTTTCGGGTCCTTCGTCTGCCTCCTGCTCCAATGGAACCGGTGCCACGGCCTTGCGCGGGACTGGGCCGCGCTGGGCCCACGGGGGGCTATGCAGCATGGGTGGTTCAGTGGTAGAATTCTCGCCTGCCACGCGGGAGGCCCGGGTTCGATTCCCGGCCCATGCAGCCTACCTGACGTTTTGGTCCTGCGGCCAGACACCGACTCCAAGGCCACGCCCTCCGGCCCTCTCGGGTGACTCGTGTCACTATAGGGAGCGAACGCCACCTCGCACGACACACTGACTCTCCACCTTTTACCCTTTCCTGGCTCCCTGGCTCCCCGCAAACCCACACTCCCCGGATGGCACCCTCTTGTCGCGGTCGCCACCCCCAACGTGGACACTCTTGGCAGCCGCAGACAGAGCCTCTGCCTCGTGGGCCACGAGGTCCACGCCGCATGCGCCAGAAAGGACGGCGCCGGGGGTGCAGCTCTGGCCGGGAGTCCGCGGGTCACCCGCCTGCCTGTCTGCGGGGCGTCCCCCAACGCCCACGGGCCTCCCCGGACGCGGTGCGCGGGCTCCTCCTCACACTCCGCCCGAGGGGCGCCACGGTCCCGCCACCCGCGCCCATCCCCACCCGAGCGCAGACCCCGCGGCCTCCGGGGCCAGCGAGCGGCCCAGGTTTGGACGCGGCGCGGCGGCCGAGGCAGGGCAGAGAAAACACTCCGGAGTTTGGGAAAAAGCAGAGCTTCCCTGACCGGGAATCGAACCCGGGCCGCGGCGGTGAGAGCGCCGAATCCTAACCACTAGACCACCAGGGAGCGGTGGCTGGCGCGTCTGCCGCGTGTCCTCTACACGTAGGACCAGAGGGCCGCCGACAGCGTCTCCACAGCCGGCCTGTGCCTCTGCCAAGTCCCGCCGCCCAGGGCCGCGTCCGCCCGCCTGTGCGGCTCGCGGCAAGCGGAATACACCACATGCGGAAAAACAGACACGCAGACGTGTGGCCCAGCATCGTGAGCCCAGAAATAAATCCAAGTGTTAACGAGCAAATAATTTTAATAAAGGAGCCAAAAATAGACAATGGAGAAGAGAAAGCGTCTTCAAAAATAGTCCTGGGAAACCCGGAAAGCCACAATCAAAAGGACAAAGCTAGACCACTGTTTGTCCCCATGCACAAAAATTAACTCAAAATGGACCAAAGTCCTAAATACAAGACCTGAAACAATAAATAACATAGAAGAAAACATAGGTACGAAACTGATTGACTTTGGTTTTAGAGAGGATTTTATAAGTTTGACCCCAAAGGAAAGGGAAGGAAAGGCAAAAATAAATGAATAGAACTGTATGAAACTGAAAAGCTCCTGCATAGCAAAACAAGAAGGCAACCAACCAAATAGGAGATGATATTTGCAACCAACAGGTCTGACAAGGGGTTAATATCCAAAACGTATAAAGAACTCACACAACTCAACACCAAACACACAATCCAGTTAAAAAATGGGTAGAGGACCTGAGCAGACACTTCTTTCAAGAAGACTCGCAAATGGCCAACAGTTATATGAACAAGATGCTCAGCTTTACTAGCTTTTAGGGAAACACAAATCAAAAGTACAATGAGATGCCATCACACATCTGTTAGAATGGCCATTATCAACAAGACAAGTAATGACAAGTGTTGGAGAGGTTGTGGAGATGGGAAAAAATAAAAACAAAAACAAAAACAAAAACAAAAACAAAAAACCCACCTCATTTACTGCTGGTAGGAGTCTAAACTGGTACAGCCACTATGGAAAACAGTGTGGAGGCTCCTCAAAAAAGTAATAATAGAGCTAGCTATACCATGTGATGCAGCAACCCCTCTTCTGGTAGGTACCCCCAAATTTAGAAAACATTCATTCACAAAAAATATATACAACCCTATGTTCATTGTGGAATTATTCATGGTGGCCAAGGCTTGGAAGCAACAGAAGCATCCCTCCATAGATGCCTGGATAAAGGAGATGAGGTACATATACATACGATGGAATACCCTACTCAGCTATAACAGGAGATGAAATACTGGCAGTTGTGACATGGATGGATCTTAAGAATATCTTGCTAAGCGAAATAAGCCAGACAAAACGTTAAGAACCATATGATATCATTCATATGTGGGATTTAAAACTGAAAGCAACAAATGAACAAATAAGACAAACAAAATCTTACAGGCGCAGACAACAGTATGGTGGTCACCAGAAAGAGGGTGAGGGTAAAAAAGGGTAAAGGGAGTCGAATACATGCTGATGGAAATAGATTTGACCTTGGAATATATAGATGAAATATATAGATGATGTATCACAGAATGGTACACTTGCAACTTATATAATCTTATTCACCAATGTCACCCCAATCAATCTACATTTTTTTTTAAAAACGTGTGCCTCATTCTCCCACACTCGTACGCAAACGAGAGCCCAGTGCCTAGGGCCCAGCTCTCGCATGAGGATGACGCACGAGGGCCCTGGAGCCCCAAAACATCAGCGCACCACGTTAGCTGGAATCAAAGCCACCGCTGGCAAAGCCCCCTTGCTCACCGCTCGGCCCCCAGCGCTTCGCGGCCCGTTCGCCTGAGAAGGTGGACCCCACTGGGGAAGCGCAGGGAGCTCCAGCCCTGCCTGGATGCTGCGCCCCTTGGCCCCGCAGCCCTGTGATCGCAGCAGCGCCCGCTCACGCCCCAGCCGCCCAGACCCGCGCAGCTGCGCTGGCCCGCTCGCGTCTCCGGAGGGTTCTCGCTGCCCGGCTGCTCTTGGCCCCTGGGCTCCCAGCCGCGGCGGACCCGGAATGCAGCACTAGAGAGGCGGCTCACGTGGGCGAGTTGCTGGACAGGGACAGGCGGCAGAGCCGATTACCAAAAGAAACCCCTGTCTCTCCGTCCGGGAATCGCACCCCGGTCTCCTGGGAGACAGGCGGGGACAC